AGGCCTCCCAACATGACTTCATTCTCTTACATAGTTACCACATCCTAACTAGTCTCTTGAAAAGCCTATAGCCCCACTCACCCTACCTCACCTCCACCAAAGTATGGGAGCAGAAAAGACGACAGTGATATATGTGACTGGGATTAGTGTGTGTTTGACTAGGAAGGCATGAGCAGGGAGTCAAAAGCTTCTCCCTTGAAATATCAGCACTTTAAAGGGTTCTCCCAGTGCTGCTTCCTTGGTTAACTGAGTACCTCAGCATAGAAGAGCAAGCTCCTATATACCTCAGGCTACCCAGAGAGCTCAGGCCTCTCCCAATCAGGCCCTGCTCTGCAATGGTACCCAGGTCCTTCCACATCTCCTTTTTGCTTTGAGTGCACCATGTTGCTTACCCTCTGGGAACCACTGAAACAGCTGAAAATAAGTCAGAGCACAACATACTCCACTCATCCCTGTCCCCAAAATATCCTGAGGCTGAGAGCTGTGAAAGAAATAGTGTACGGCTGTTCTGGCAGTTTTACACTGGCTGGGGAACCCCTTTATGCAGCTGTTAGTCCCCGGGGCTATTTCTCTCCCTTCACAATGTAAAAGGGTCAGAAGTGGAGAAGTTGGATCCAATATGGTTTGAGCCTTGAGAATGGGGGCCAAAGTGGAAAAAAAAAGTGAAGTAGGAGAACTACAGGACTACAAGACAGGTCTAGAGGGCCCCTGTTCTCACTACCACTTTATTCTGGAAGAGTGTTAGAAATGGAAACCTAAAGCACAGAACTCAAACCTCTAACCAAATTGTTATTTACAAAAGATTCAATATAGGCCATCACCCAGATAACTGTTGGTTCAAACAAGACTTCCAATAGAACCTCAAGTGCCACATTAATATTTCAAAGAACAGAAGAACTGACAAACATAACAGGTTTGCAACCAAGAGGGGGTTTACATTAATTTTTGTTTGGGTGGAGTGTAAGAGCATTAGAAAGGCAAAAATTAAGTCTCAGTCTTTCACCTAAAGGTATTAGAAAGTGGGTGAGTGCTGGGAATGTGGAGGTATTTGATTGACATTATATGAATATAGTTAAATTTAAAGCTATGGATTTGTGTACACGCGCTTAAAAGCTTCCAATATGCTCATTTTACAAGTGAGAAAAATGAAATATCAAGTATAACACTGTCCTTGGGAGACAAAGAATCTTACCGCGTTATAGGTGAAACTGCGTTATATCAAACTTGTTTTGATCCGCTGGAGCGCGCAGCCCTGCCCCCCCGGAGCACTGCTTTACCACGTTATATCCAAATTCGTGTTATATCGGGTTGCGTTATATTGGGATAGAGGGTGTATTTCAAGCTTTAAGCTGAAGAAGGCATTAGTTTTACCTCTAACTGTTGAGATTGTGGCCATTGAAACTACAAAAATGCAAACAGGAAAAAAGACAAGATGGTAATATTTTAAAATGATATTTTTACTAACTGACCTTGTCCTCACCCTGCCCATTCCTCCCACACTGACTGAAAAGAATACTGTGTTTTGAAGATTAACTAGAGCAGATGAAGCACACAGGTAAAGACTCTGAATTTCAATGGCACCAGAAATATTCCATATCTGTCCACCAACAATTCTAACAGAACTACACTGTCACAGTAAAGGAAGCCCCCACAGTTGAAGTAACAGAATCATGGACCACAAAGCTATTCTGCGTAGTGAAAATAACCCAGACCTCAGAACCAAACATGGATTGCTATGAAGAGCTGTCAGAGTATTATGCTGATATGATTAAATACACATGGAATAAACAGAAAGAAAGTTTTATAACATATGAACTGCCATACTGGGTCAGACCAATGGTACATCTTGCCCAGCATCCTGTCTCCAACCATGGTCAGTACCAGAATTTCAGGGGGAGTGTATAGAACAGGACAATTTTGGAGAGATTCACTGCTGTCTTCCCCTCTCAGCTGCTGGCAATCAGAGGTTTAGGATCACCCTGAACATGGGGTAACATCCCTCCCAATCTTGACTAACAGCCATTGATGGGCCTCTCCTCCATGAATTTATCTAATTCTTTTTTTAGACCAGTTGTACTTTTGGCCACCAAAACATCCCATGGCAATAAGTTCCACGGGTTAATTGAGCATTGGGCAACAGGGGATGGTTCACTTGACGATGACTTGTCCTGTTCATTCCTTCTGGGGCATCTGGCATTGGCCACTGTCAGAAAACAGGATACTGGGCTAGATGGACCTTTGCTCTGACCAATATGGCCGTTCTTATGTTCTTATTACATGAAAGCATACTTCTTGTTTGTAAAAAGCAACAAAGAGTCCTGTGGCACCTTATAAACTAACAGATGTATTGGAGCATGAGCTTTCGTGGGTGAATACCCACTTTGTCAGATGCAGGTCTTGTTTTTAGTAAACCTGCTGCCTATCAAATTCATCTGGTGACTGCTGATTTTTGTATTGTGGAAAAGGGTAAACAACACTTCTCTCATTTTTTCCACACCATTCATGATTCTAGACCTTTGATCAGATCGTATTACCCACCCAGCCACACTGACTTTGAGGAGCTCCAGCAAATGTGATGGTATGAAAAAGCCCTGAAAATAGAGAGCCACTGCCACACCAGTGAAATGGATCTATACCTCTCATGATTGCTGAAAACCATTCCCTCTACTAATAGAAATGGTTAATGCCTTCAACAGTTGCACACCTACCAAACTTTCTGAAAAATGCAATAGTCAGCTCAGTCCTCAAAAAAACATCACTTGACCCTGAAGAACTCTCCAACCTCTCACTCGTGGGCGAAATGAATGAGAAAGTAGCAACCCCAAGCGCTAGTAACATGGCTTTTAGCTCATGCAGTAGAGGCTCATGCACTAAGCTCCAGAGGTCCCAGGTTCGATCCTGCCTGCCCATGACCGGGGTCTGTTGGTGTTACAATTGCATTAAATCCTTTAGGGATTTTGTTATTGCTATTTGTTTTATGAAGAACTCCCACAGATCCTATGGTGCTAGACAGTAATACAAAACTCAGAGAAACTATTTGCAAGGCCAGAACCGTAGGTTGAATCTGAAGCAAAAGCTAGAGAAGATAGGTAATAGGTTTTGTAGTCTATAACCTGAACCATCCATACCCTTTAAAAGGAAAATGCCTAAGTAAAACTAAAATGCAGAGAACAGGAGAACTGCAATATGAAAAGCCAAGTATGTGACTGTATTCCAACTATGAATGCTAACCATTTTTTAACTAGAATCAAGAGTTAGAAATACAGTTGATATATTCTTTGGTGTAGACAGGAACATGTCATAATGTACAATTTTTAATTTCCTGGTGCCAATATTTCTGACCACACTACCTTTTTTGGTTCTTTATCAGGCCTATAAAACACACACAATATACATGCACACACACTGAACTATTTTAGTGATCACATCAGGAGACACCAACCCACCTACCTTGGGACACTAAAGACAAACTGCAAGCAAGAGGATCAGGAAGTAGCTAGTCAGCCAGTTAGTTATGGACTTTAAAAGACTAATTATAAGCACATACTAATTATAAGCACATACAAAAAGGCTTAGTTACAGTATTATTACATACATCGTAAATGGCAAATCCTACAGGGCAGGTACCAACTCTTAAGTGTAAAAGTCTTATTAGCAAATAAGTTTCACAATTAATACTAAAAGAGATGAAGAGCAAACATAGGAATGGGAAGATCACACAGATGGATGTGCTCATGGAGAGCAACCCCAAAGAGGGGTGCAAGGGTGATATTTTCAGTATGTGACTTATCCCCATCACTCCAATTACAGGAGAAGAAACACAAAGTACTCCTCACTCCATTTTGATTACTGATAGAGGACAAACTGTATTCCCCCCACCCCCTCACACACACACCATTTCAAGTAGAGATGTTGGGGAACAAGACGGCAACTTCAACCCCCCCCCCCCCCCCCAACTTCCACATACAGGGGGAATGGGGCAGGGGACACTCCTCACATTCCACTTCAATTACAGTCAGGGGGAGAGAGAGAAACCACACTGCAATTTTCTCCCACTCCATTTCAGTTACAGATTAAGGGGGAAACCACACCACATCTCCCCCCATTTCAATTACACTGGGGAGACCCACACCACACACCTTTCCCCACTGTAGTTACAGACGGGGGGGGGGGCAGGAGAACCACACTGTACA